GTTCTGATTGAAACTCCCTTTATGTTGGGAAATTAAAGCATAGCTGTTCAGCTTTTAAAAGCATTCCTTGTAGTCCAACTTTGTTGTCTTTCTGGTAGGGCTACTTTGCAGAAAAAAAAAAAAAAAATCAGCCAGGCAGTAAGTGAAAGAGACAGTAATTACAAAGCAAATGAAAAGCTGAGCTGATGAAACTTAATGTTAGGAAGCAAGAGAGAGAAAAAAAATATATATTGTGACACAAATATAAATTAAGCAAAAACCAGTAGATAAAGAAGAATGAAACATTAAAGTAGCTGAGAAATGCAAGCAGCAACGGGAGAGTTCAGATGAATAACTGGCTGTTTTAAGTGCAAACATGACAGCCAGAGATGTTTATTAAAGTCAAGTGTCAGATAATTGCATTTTTCTGTGGTTTTGTGACACCAAAAAAGTACTTGCATACTCTAGCCACTTAGAATCACGTCTGAGTAAAAACTTAAATATATAGGTAACATGTTGCACAACAACATATTGTATAAAATGTCAAAACAATGACACAAAGACAAACATAGTGAGATACATGATATTTTTTTGTCTTCATGCCAACACCAGAAGAGCGAGTAGAGCTCGGGTCCAACCAGTTTTGGAGCCTCTTGTCAAAAAATTCAATTGGAGAAAAAAAACAACAGCACAATAGATAAATTCGTAAAAATCCTGCAGCCATATTCTGTCACTGAATGCATCATGTGACATTAGTCAAGGTTCACAATAACAAATGCAAACCTTTCGCACATAGTGAATTGCTACTTTGATATGTAGAACTCTTTGGAAACATTTTCACATTAATTCTCATTAACAAGATTGTTTTCCAGAAAGCCTATGAAGCTGTTCTACCCCACATCAGTCGTCCATGTTGAGAGCGCTTGGTGATCCCTCCACCTTCTTAAACTAGTTAGTGGTTGATTATGGCATGCAAAATACTCATCTACAGAGGGCCACATAAAAAAATATAAACCGGATTTAATCCCCGGGCCTGGACTATGCCATATGTCAATCGCTCTGCAGGAAGTATTATGAAAACGCCCAGCTGTATGTACATTCAGACAGATGTACAGTCAGGGGTAGCAAAACATTGCTGTTTGAAAGTATTGTTAAAAAATTCTAGAGAAAGATTATCATATCCTAAAAATAACAGCTGTCCATGAGAGCTCTTGGACATACTGTATCGTGTATGTATGTATGTATGTATCGTGCTGTATTCTTATAAGCTTAATATGCTTTGTGAACTATTTCACACACAGAACACCTGCCCTCTGGTTTCAATGCTTTGTTTTCAGAGTTGCAAACACAAAAACAGGTAAAAAGCCTAGCATCAATGTGGAAGAAAGCCCCTTCTAATCCCGCTGTTTTTAGCCGCGTGTGCTTATCACAATGCACAGAGCAGGGTTGGTAAACAATGCCACGTATGTCAATTCAAAAGAGAGTCATTGCTTTGCATGCTTCTCTCACTGATGTGCCGTGCCATGCTGGGGTATTGTGCGCTTTCTGCTTCTAGCGAATCTCTTGAAGCTGGGGGTATGTGCAAGGCACGAGATGTGGACTCTCCAAAGAAATACAACATGTCATGGGAAGGACATGCTCAAATATGATGTTAAGGTCATTGGAACCAGTTTTATTATATATTTATTGAATTTTATAGTGGGTTCAAGATGCTAATCTTTGTAAGACAAACAGCAGACAGTTACAAATGTTGGTCTTAAATCTTGGTTATTTTAGTGTTTCTGTTTGAGGTGACACTTCTTCCAACTTTCCACTGTCTAAGGAAAGCCTCCTAGAAAACAATTTACAGGTATTATATTTCCAAAATAATGAGGCTGCTGTCTGTCAGCATTGAGGTTCTGCAGTGGTTTAGACCCTATGTCTCATCATAAATGTATAAGACAAACGGCATTTTATAGTACTTTGATTTGCCATTTGCTTGGTATTGTCTTTCTAAAACAAAAACATTACTATGGCAACCATTATAACATGCAATATTTTTATTTTCTATTTTTTAGGCAACGGTTGACTTAATGATTATTTAGAAATCGTTATCCAAGTTTTTTTTTTTTTTTTTTTTTAAATGCTTTTGCGTTCACAGATAACACTGTGATCTGCAAAAAGTATTTATTACTTCTGTTTAATGTCTGCTTGTTCATATTACCAAGAAAACTGGAAAACTGCACATGCAATACTAGAAAACATTGAGTCAAATGGAAGAATAAGTAGAGGGAGCCTGTCATGACATATGCTTAGGGCAACCACAAAAACTGAAAAGCAACACCACTGCTGATACCAAACACCTCTATCGGTCACTTTTACTGTAATCACCTCGGAGTTAAGCTGACAAACCAGGCAGAGGAAGGAAAAGAAAAAGGCACAGAAGTGACAATAAGTCAGTAAGAGTGAAACATGTGAAGCTAAAGGGAGTGGATTTTAGAAACACATTTCTTGTACAGGTGTGTGTTTTGAGTTGTGTTGGTTTTGGGAAACACTACTTGAGGCAACAGCGTAATGCTTTGTGACCTTTGTGTCACAGCAGATCAGAGAGATCAGCTTAGAATATCAGTGAAGATGGGAGATTTGCTTTTCTTTTTTTTTATATTCAGCCATAGCTCAAATGTTAGAAACACTAGTATTACCTTTGAATCTTCACAGATGGATTTTTAGCTGTCTCAAGGGAATAACTCTAGTCACAAAATATTACACTCCTCCTTTCCTCAGTTCTGGAAAAAAACACAACAAAACCAAAAAATAATTCAACATTTATACTGGCCTTTGTTGAGTCTTTTATTGTGGTGAGAAAAAAAAAATATTACTACACAAGAATATTCCTTTTACATGCATTACAAAAGAAAGATCTAAACCTGATTTTCTCAATGTCAGCAATATCCAGTGAGAAAAAAAAAAATAATAATTTTGTCAAAAACATACATGGAAATGTCCCTGAAAGCTTGTGGAAACATTACTTCATGTCGGTCGTTTCAATTATTAATCAAACCTTGAGGAAGGTCTGCCAAACCAAATACACCAAACCAAATAGTTTTATGTTCATTCATCCTTTACACCAGAGCAGGTTTTCTTTTTCCAGTGATCACATGCTTTGTTCCTTTGTCCTCCAACTAAATGTAGTTTATCTTTTTCTCCCTCTGACTCCTGGAAGAATCTGTGTCAAACAATCAACATACTTCCAGTTCTCTCTCACATATGTGCTCTGAGTGCTGCACACTTCTGACAGGGGAGAGCAAATGTGAAATTTGTAACTTATCAACAATTTTCTTAGTTTAACCTCACCGTGAAGAATTAGAGCGGCATCTAATTGTATTGTAAAATAGTAAATATGTATTTTCATACTTTTTTTTTTTTTTGCACAATAAAGCTTGAATGTATTTTCCAAGTAACACACTGCTGTGAGTTCGTTAGGAATTTTGAGGACTCAAACACAGATAGGAGGCAGGCAAGATCACTTTGGACAAATGGAAACTGTGGTTGTTGTGTAGAAGAAAAAAAAAAAAGAATATGTCAAAATAGGGAGCAGAAAATAGTCAGAAAACTGACTATTAAAAACTATAAGAGGAGGACGGTGGAACAAAGAAGAAGTGATAAGGGCTCCCTACGACAATGAATCTGTGTATGTAAGCTTGTGCATTCTACTGGTGTGCAAGTCTTATGTGACCCGAGTGTGCACGTGTCACACTTAGTGGCATGCTGGCCTGACTTAGCACCCGACTTCTTCATCCTGACGCAAGGCAGAGTAGGGAGTAGACTGCAGGCAGGTCCAGTATGTGATGGCTGACTTCTTGGTGAGTTTATGAAAAACTAATTTGTGGAATTCTAACTATTAGGACCTGATGCACTATTTCACTATTACCTGCCGAGGACAGTGACTGCCTCTCGGGCTCTGGCTCCTAACCCTGTTTCCAAACCCCCAGAGCACACAGAGGGCACACACTTTAATAATACTCACACCCCTAAGCAGTCAACCGTGGAGCGTGCCATCGGCCTCCTAAAATGCTAGTGGCGGAGTGTAAACTTTATTTGGCGTCACAGTGGCTGGCAAAAACTCTGCTTTTAACTCTCCACCGATCACTTGCATTGCTTTCTGCCTCTAGGAAATTGTGTTTTTCTTTTCCTCCTCTTTTCCTTGTTGTTGCCTTTGTTAATCATGAAATGACATAATCAGTTAGACCATTTAAATAAACACTGACATTTCCTGTTAAACTTGTTGTGTTGCTCATCTTACCCTGAATTGGCTTCTGATTGGTTGATAAGTCCCTCATCACCCCAGTTAGATAACTAGTACAGGTGTGCCTTTAGTGATGCTCTTCTAGACCTTCATGTGTTTTGAGTTTTCTAAAACATCAAGCAGTTGACCCAGCCAAAGTTAATTAGTCTCGCACTTTCTTTTGATCTATCTGAAATGTCACTACAGCGCAAAATAGCTCATTATGTTAACTTTGTAAGCATACGGATGAAACAACCGGTTGATATAAAAATTGCATTGCCTTTGTTTGCTGGTATTTCATCTGGAATTTCCAAGAAGGAATTTGATATCACTTGAAAGCCTACGCTGTCAGACTCTGAGTGGAAGATAAAAGAAACTCAACACTTGGATTACAAAGCCTGGGTGAACTGACATAATCTTAAAAGGAGTGCATTGCGTTATGCTGTTGTCAGCCCAGTTTTCTTGTCAGTGACTCAGTTATGGATGCAGGGTTGTCCGTATCGACGTTTTATCAGGTGGTATTTTAGAAAAAATAATTACTGACATGCAGTTAATAGACATTTCAAGGACACACAGATGAAAGTATCTGTATAATAATGTCACTTTGACTAAGATGTCCAGTGACATGGAAAACCATCTGCAGAGCTACGACTGCTTGTAATACATTTCATTTTGTTTAGCAATAGTTGCAATACAGCTTAGCCGAGCATTTCTTTAAATATTTACCCCAAATTAACTGCATCTACTCATGAATGGATTGAATTGAATTGTATGTAATAGGAGAGTCCCAATCTGATGTCGACATTGGAAATTGATCTAATATCAGCTGAAAAACGAGATTAAATCGAGCTTCATCTAAAATCTTGGACATGAGCATGCAGAAAAAAAGCATCCCACTCCATTAAAAATAAGAATAATATAAGAATAAAACATTAAGTAGGACAGTCCATATGATCAAAGACATTTTAAAACACATCTGATGAATTCTAAAACTTTTTGAATTTTAGAATCTCAAAGAAAATTTGATTCTTTGTCTTTTTTTTCCCCAACATTGAGCTAAAACTCTTGTGTCATTCTAATTAAACCAAAATCATGCATTATATTGTCTCGTCTCGTCTTATGAGCTGGTTGTACTAAAACACCCTCATTTAACATGTACAAGTGGTTAGAAGGACCTTCTATTTAACCACCTGCACACAAAAACACTGCCATTCTCGGGTTTCCGCCCCTATTTTTAACTAAAATACACCATCTAATATATGACTATTGTCTGTTTATGTTCCACTGCATTTATCACACAGTGAGTACACGTAGCATTAGCACTGCTGTCGTCACAAGGGACCAAACTTATAACCTTCACAGTATTGCGACTTAGCTTAATCAACACACCACATTCATATCCAGCCGAAATACAATGGTTACAAACTGGCTGGAAATGACTTTGCACTTCTTGTAGGAATGTCAGTTCATTGTAATAATGTGACCTGCTTTTGCAAGAGATTCACACATAACATTTTGAATATGCTTTCAAAGGATGACAATAAAAGGTCTCATAGAAAGTGGCTTTTATGTGTGTTGGGTTGAGATGATGCCCTTCTGACTAAAATATTTAGTAGTATTCTAATTTTTCTTTCCGACCACAAAATGTAGTTAGATTAGCGGGTGCTGACAACTATTACTTTTAAATCAAATTTATGGAGCTCGCATGTGGTTTCCTCCATATTTTGTTGTGTAATGTCCTTCAACAGTGGAAAAAGGACAACAAAGACCAGTTGCCTGTCAGAGAACCAATTACAGGAAGCAATAAAGGGATAGAAAACATTCAATAGAAGACATTTTTGGTACCTCTCTCCTCTTGGCAGTCCACTCGTTCTCACTTGCACACAGAAATAGTGAAAGGTAACGCGGAGGTAGTAGTCTATGAGGCTTCCTCTCTGCTTGCTTGCCATTTGTCATTACAATGCTGCAATGTTTACTTTCAGCACACACAAACCGAACATGGTAAAGGGGAGAAACAGCAAGCGACTTGAGTATCGCTGACAAAGCACAACAGGGTCACAGGAAGGCCTGATGTGGAGGAGTCCAATTTCTCAAACAGAAGCCGTCATTCTTAAAAGAGCATCCGTGTACTTTTAAATGGCACAGACTTTATAAAAGCAAATACGTTGCCATCCTCAGTTCATGTGAGATAAATATATTAAAACATTAAGATAATAGTTTCACATTGGAGAGCCTAATTTTTTTAAGTTGAACTTCAATCTATTTCACCTAATTCTACTAGTTTCATTCAATATCTAGAGAAACTAACAATCTATTTTGCTTCATACATACACATTAGTATAAGCTCAATGATTATATTGACTTTCTTTTTAATTTATGAGCAACCATCAGAGTTAATCAGCATAGTTTATCTCAATGTACGTGGTTTCATTTGCAGCAATTGCACGAGTTGTTTAGGTCTAATAAATTCACTTTTTTTGTCAGAGTCAGAGTCGAATTAAACATGCACAGTTAAATTTTTGAAAATATCTGCTTTCCTTTTTTTTTTTTTTTTTTTTCACTGGAACTGTCTGCATAGTTCACCCTTTGGTTCCATGACACTGTAGATATCTTAGCAGACAACAGCTAGGAGTGCATTTGTGAGATTAGTGTGTCAAACATTTAAAAGGATATTACGGTACTCATGCAAAAAGACAGTGTCAGAATAGTTTGCACACACAATGTTTTTCAGTAGTTTCATGTTTCACAGAGCATAAAAGTGGAGATGGAAACACATTTACTGAATAAGTTATTACATAGCAAACTTTCCCTCCTACTAAAATTTCTGAGGTCAATAATCATTTCAAGAACACATGGATGAAAATATCGGTAAACATTTCCCTTTGACTATGATGCCAGTTGACATAAAAACAAAAAAATAAAAAATAAAAATAAAAAAAAAACATTTGTAGAGCTACAATTGCTTGTAATAAATTTCATTTTGTTTAGCAGTAGTCATACAATGCCTTAACTGAATAATTTAAAAGACCAAACCTGCAGTTCATGTAGAGAGAACATTTCGTTTTTGTGAGATGTGTGATCTAGTTTAGTTTGCAACCTCTACATCTTTTTTTATTACGGCCATGTGGAGAGTCAACGTCTGATGAAATTGCGCTTTGTGTAGCCTGGCTGATTCGCTCCAAACCAATAGCTTCACATTTTTGTTATTTCTTTTTTTTGCAAAATTTTAGAAGTCCACTCAATTGGACAATAAGATGGAAACGTGACTTTAAACATATTAACTGAATTAAAGCTGAATTGACTTCTTTATTTTAGGTAATAAAAAATCAATCATTCTTTTGTTGGTGCTTGATTCATTCATGCATGTTTGATTAACTTCTTGAATCTCCTGAGGCATTCATTCAGTGATGCCTAAACGCTTGCTCAAACAAAGTTCCTTCTTGCAGCTGCAGTCTCCAAGTTGAGTTTCTGTCTCACAGAACAGGCTTCCATAATGCCCCTCACCACTCAACTTCACCAGACTAGTGGCAGCACCAATTAGCAAACACCTGGTGGAACTGCAATCCTCCTAAGCTTATCATACAAATAACTTCTAACACTCCTAAGAATTTCAAGGCGTAAAATTGCAAAGTCAAATTTCCTTTAAGTCATGTATGATATATACAGAATTTTTCATAACAACTGAAGTTGTACGTTATAAAATGGCCTTGTGGCTGGGTAATACAAAGTGCAGCCCCTTCAAAATCCTTAGCTCATTAAAAGCCCAGAATTCAAAGCCTTGTACTATCTGAAAGTGCTCACTATGATGCAATATCTAACTTGATCGTCTTTCCTCCCACACAGCAAAACTGTTCGCTCTAAAACAGCGAAATCAGGGATGTGAAGACCTTTATTTCACAAAGGTCAAATCTGACCTCCTTTCATGGGTTTCAGCTAGAGTCCACACACATTGTGTCATAACTCATACTTGCCGCTTGTTGTTTAACATGGGTCAGTTCTGGCCCTCACATAACATGCAATCATTCGCCCTAAGAAACAGTAATGTTGCATTTGGGCCACATTTGATCTTAGCACCCAGAACTGAGCCTGATGTCTCATAGGGGTCCAGAGAATGCCCAAATTTCGGAGGTCATCTGCCAGTCTCTACAAAGAAACCAAAAACAGAGGTCTGTATGTAAAACAGTCTTCATTTAGACATTTGATAGTTTTTTTTTATTGTGCTCTGGATTTTCTTTTTTTTTTTTACAGTTTCTACTATAATTTACTACCACCCCTGTCTTATTTACCAGTATGTCCTTTAATTCATATTAATTAGAAACTAACTTAAGTATGATTCAAGATTTGTAATGTAGTTTGGTCTCCACAGGTTAGTGCCATTCAGCAAAGGATGTCTTAAATTTCGTCTGAGCTTCCAAGAGGTTAAAGTTGTTACGTCAATTAGAAGAATAAAATATGGCACATTTTACCTGTAGCTGTATAACCTTCACATTCATTAAGGCCTGTATTTGAGAGATAAATTTTTTGTCGCCGTTTGCTCTTTCCCGTTGGAATTATTCATCTGAAGCACCGTGTGGTATCATTTTATAACCTCCTCCTCTACGTACCCTGACGTCTGTATCTGTTCCTCTTCCCCCTCTCATCTAATAGCTTAAGCTTTCCCTGAGGCATAGATGGCCAAGTATAATGCTTCGGTGGATAGGCTTATAAGTTGCTGAAGGTCTTTCTTGTCATGGGAACAATATAAAAATGATAAAGATAAAAAAAAAAAAAAAAAATTCAGGGTCTTGATGTATTTCATTTTGTCAAAACCAGCTGACTGCCCTGTATTTGGAGAAGTACTGGTGTATTGTAAAATTGTATAAAGAATTGTCTCTAGTTGTCTTTTTTTATGTTGCATCTTTGGTGTTCTGCCTCAAATGCTAGAGAAAAAAAATAATTATTGTCAGATTCCTTATCAAAATATAGATGTTTATTATCCTCTCTTTATCACCATAATTTTCTTGGCATGTCCTAGTCTTCTCATTTTGGCGTACTCTGTCAGAGAAGTTTCCAAAGAAATTCTAGGGATACCCCAACTTGATAATGGTGATCACTAACTGGATCAAACTCTTTAAAGTGATTTTTTTTCTTTTTCATTTTCATCTGTTATTGCTTCTATAAACTCAATTTTTCTTCATTCTCTGAAGGCAAATTTAAATTCTGCTTAGCAAATATATTCTGACAAATATGTTCGTGGAACAAGGACATAATCCTCCAGCAACACCTAATTTCTTATATAATCGCAAACTAAAAATAGTGCAGCAGATGGAAATGACAAAAAGAAAAAAACAAATTCTCTTACTACTACATTTGCGGTAAGATAAAATGCTGTAGGTGTTATTCAGATGACTCATTTTGCCATAAGAATAGGTACTAAGAACTGTCTCACCAGCTCCTCTACACACAGTAAATGGAGCACTCCAACCCCTTGGTACAGCTTATTAGTTTGTGTTATGTTACAAACTGTTTTGTCTTTGAAGGGCGGATATATTCCCCTTTCTTCATTTTAAATATAAACGTGTCGGAACTGCTACTTCTCAATATAGATGCCTGCTAATCCAGGCTCTGATAGGTAAGGAGGTTGAAATGGGTCAACCTCTCTGCGGACAACGTACATCATATATATATATATATATATAATATTTTATCACCAGGAAGGATTACTCTTTCATATCTTATAAACAGTTTTTATGACTGTTGTTTCCAATGGCAGGGGATACTGTTCTTGGA